ATTCAGGCAAAATGTGATTGTTTACTCCTCTATAAATACTCCCATGAGCAATAGCTTGATTTCTCTGTGTTTAACGATGTAAGTGGTGTCATCAACAATAGGCCCCTAACTGCCTTCTGGTTGGGGAAGATAAACAATCACCTTGTCTATAGCCTGGATGTTTCAGAATGGGTGTCTATAGGACCTATTTGTGAAACAACTCAACAAAAGTAACCTTTCTTAGCACCGAAAGTTTTACTTGGTGGCAAAAGATTTCTAGATGAACGTTGCTTCCCCTATTATATGGTGACTCTATGACTCTATTTAGATCCTTTCGTAAAGGTGTATATTTTAGAAAGGGTCACGTGGCTCTAGTAGGCTCAAGCTTGGTCTCCAGCTGGTAAACTTTTTGGGAAGATTTAGGAGGTGTGGCTTTGCTGGAATAGGTATGGCCTTATTGGAGGAGGTGGGTTCCTAGGAATAGTCTTTGAGGTTTCAAAAGCTTTTTGACAGGCTCAGTCTCTCTCTCTCTCTCTCTCTCTCTCTCTCTCTCTCTCTCTCTCTCTGCCTAAATAATGCCTGTGGAACAGGATGCAGTTCTCAGTTACTTCACCAGTACCACATCACACTCGCCTGTCTGCCACCACGTTTCCTGCCATGAAGACGATGGATTAATCCTCTGAAGCCATAAGGAAGCCCCTAATAAAATGATTTCTTTTATAAGAGTTGCCTTGACCATGGTGTGTCTTTACAAAACAGAAACTAAGACAAAAGTTGGTACCAGGGAGTGGGATACTGCTGTCACAGGCCTGACCATACCATTGTTTGCAGGAATATGGAAGAATTTGAGACTTTGGATAAAGTGTTAAATGCTTTAAATGATGTTTAATGATCTTTCTCAGTAGAAACTTGGAAGACAGCAGTGCTGAGCGTGATGTGGACTCTGCAGGCTTGACTCAAGGGGTTTCAGGGGAAGAATATCAGCAAGTGACTACAGACCATTCTTATGAAATTTTGGCAAAAAAATGTGGTTGCTTTTTGCCCTGTCCTAAAACTCTGTTGAAGATTAAATTGAAGAGATTTGGATGAATGCCTCTGGCAGAGGAGATTTTTGAGACAGGCCTGTGTTGGCAGTGTCAAGTGGTTATTAGCGATCCCTCGTGCGCAGATCTGCAATGACAGGAGCAAGCCTATAAGCAGCACTCCTTCACGGCACCTGCATTTGCTCCTGCACCTGACTTCCTTCAGTGATGAATGGTGATGTGGATGCATAAGCCAAACCAACCCTTTCCTTTCAAGTTGCTTTGGTCATGGTGTTTCATTATAGCAATAATAACTCTAACTAGGACGAAGGTTTCCAGATGGCTTCCCAAACACCTTCCGTGTTTGCTGTTCCTCCCCATATTTCTTCCTTTACACTGCCCTACACATCACTTCCCATTTAATCTTCTTATTGTAGTTTCTACTTTGTCCCTTTAAACACTATATTCTATTTCTCCTTCCTTGGAAGATCCCATCCTCCCCATTCCTTTTCTATCTTCCTACCCTTTATTGTTATTTGATTTATATCACAGGTATCTAATGCTTAAAAGCCAAAATCCACAAAAAAGAGAAAATATAAAATGTTTCTCTTCTTGGATCTCTGTTACTTCACTCAGGATTATTGTTTATCTCCACCCATTTATTGCAAAATTTCTTTTTTCTTATCAGATGAATATTTTAGTATTTAGTACCATATTTTAATTATCCATTCATTAGCTGATAAACATCTAGCTATGTCCAGTTTCAGGCTATTATGAATAGAACAGTAAGAAGATGATTGAGGGAATAATTCATTAATAGGAATAATATTGATGAATATAAGTCTATATCCCAAATGCAACACTCAAAACTATGAAACTTGTTATACCTAAATGCCAAGATTGTCTCCAATATGGTAATAGTGGAAGATGCCAGTGTTCCACTCTCCTCATGGACTGATCATCCAAAGATGTCAACAAGAAATATTAGTTAAATTATGTTATAGGTCAGTAAAACTTAACAGGTATTTACAGCACATTCTGACAGTGCACATTCTTTCCATTAATGTAAATTTTTTGCTAGAATACAACATATAGCTGACTACAAAATGAATCTTAACATGTTTAAAACATTGCAGCTATAACTCCTTTTTTTTCTGATCATAGCAGAATGTGAATAAAAGCAGGAAAAACTTTATAACTCACTGAAATATGTGCTTTGTAGCACACTGTTAAACTAACATTGGATCATTTAGGCTATCAGAAGAGAGATGTAAAAATTCATAGATACCAGTGAATATTGAAATTTAATATATCAAAACCTGTGGGATGCTGAACTTTATAACAATGAGTAAGAACATAAAAATATAAAACTTAAAATGAACAATCTGATGATGCATCTTAAAACTAAGAGAAGCAAGAAAAAAATCACACTATGCAAAGATAAAAAGCAAGGAAATCAGAATATAGATAAATAAATGAGTATAAAAGAACAATATAAAAACCAATAAAAAATCAGTGTCTAAGTTAAGTAAACTTTGCACATGTTTATTTAGACCAGTGGAGGGGGAAGAGAGAGAAAACCAATACAAATAAAATTAGAGATTAAAAATGGATTATTACAGCAGATATCCATAAAACACATGAGAATACCACCAAGATTTTATTGAAGAACTGTATTTCTAACAGATTGGATATCTATAAGAAATGGACAAACTTATGGGCACAAATCACCCACAAAAATTGATCCTGGAGTTTGTAAAGTTATGAATAGATCAGTAACAAGTGACAAGATTCAATCAATCATTGTTGTCCTATAAAGGGAAGCTCAGGGTTGCTCCTTTCATGGCTGGATCCCACCACACCTTGAAGGAAAGAGTAGTGACAGTTAAACCGTTCCACAGACCTGAAAGGGAGGGAGCCTTGCACCTTTCATGAGACCAGAGCTACCTGTTCCAACACCCCACAAAAGCACAGAAGACAAGTCCCCAATTCAATGTCCCTATGAATATATGTGAATATCTTCAGCACAATGTGGTGGCACACTGAAAGCAACCAGCCATGCTGGCTTCATTAGAGTATGCACAGCTAGTTAGCTTTGCTCATTGGCAAGTGAAATATCCTTGATCTCCATAAGTTATAGAACTGATTGGCCCATAAGCTCAGGCTTCTTGTTAACTCTTGTAGTTTATACTAACCCATTATTCTGACCTATGTTAGCCATGTGGCTCAGTACCTTTTTCAGTGAGGCAGATCACATCCTGTTGCTTTGGTGATCTGGGCAGGAGTGGGCAGAATCAGCTTCCTCCTTCCCAGAATTCTTTTGTTCTCATTGCATCACCTCTACTTCCCGTCTGGTTTTCCACCTATACTTCCTGCCTGGCCAATCAGCATTTATTTAAAACATGATTGACAGAATACAGACAATTCTCCCTCACCACTTCCCTCTCTTTTTTTTCTAAAAAAATACAAAACAAAGGAAAATATCCATAATCCAATTTTTGGGAATGTGGGCGTAGTATTCCAGGCTACTTCCAGCTGGTTGGGGGTGCTGATAATCTTATGAGAACCTAAAGAAAATGTAGAGTTATTATCAAGTCCTGACTGAAGTATCCTGTGAGTCTTGATCATCTCAGACAGCAGTCTTGATCCTTTTCTGAATAAAGAACTCAGACATCTGGGCCATCTATTCCTGCCGAAGATTTCTCAGGTGGTCTTCCTTGATCAAAGCTGATTTTTCTTAACTCTGAATAAATCCAGAGTCTCTCGTTTTCTGTGGAAACAGAAGCAAAATCTCTTCTTCAAAGTAACATACCTTTTGACTTCAATTTTGAAGTCAAGGTATTTTCAAAACACCTGTCTTGGATTAATTCTGCAGCATTTATAAGCAAATATATTTTAGCAGCTGTTGCTCCTTCCTCAGCATTCAAACAATTTAAAGAGAGCATAATAGCATACAGTATCAAGATTCTCTGTGTATTTTCCATCTTTACATGACTTTATTTTAACCTCTATTTCTTTTATTTTTACTTTTACTTTTTGAGACAGGTTCTCTGTATTTCTTTGCCCTGGAATAACTCTGTAGACCAGGCTGTTCTTGAACTCAGAGATCCGTCTGTCTCTGCCTCCCCGGCAAATCCTATCTACCTGCACTACTACAACTGGCTAGTTTCTTTCTTTCTTTCTTTCTTTCTTTCTTTCTTTCTTTCTTTCTTTCTTCCTTCCTTCCTTCCTTCCTTCCTTCCTTCCTTTCTTCTTTCTTTCTTTCTTTCGTTCTTTCATTTTGAGAACTGTAACCTTTAGTCTGTATATGTTTTTACCACACTGTAAACCATTTAGAGGTTTTCTTCCTCTTTGAATCTCTCTTTACTGTATATCTCTCTTTTTCTGACCACATGGGTCTTTCATTTGCTAAGAAATATGGAGAAGTTTTTTGCCTCTATAACGTTTTAAGGTCCTTGCCAGGAAGCAAGCTGCAACAGTGTGTCCATGAACAACACTCAAAAGCTCCATAGCCTGGACCCCCTGCTTGGAAGAGTCAGTTTTCCCTGGCAGGACAGCCCAGAAAGCCAGCATTTTAAAATAGCACAGCTTTTTTCCTGCTACAGCTGGAAACCGAAATGCTTTACTCTAGTCTTTCCCAAGCTTTCTTAGGCTTTCTGTGGATGCAGTTATCCACATGGGCGCCATTCTGTAACATGAACGGGGGCCTGCTTGTTTGTGTTTTCTGTCCTGCCAGGTTCCCATAGCTGTTTAGCCCCAAAGAAAACCACACAGAGATCTCCATAAGTTATAAAACTGATTAGCCCATAAGCTCAGGCTTCTTGTTAACTCTTGTAGCTTATATTAACCCATTATTCTGATCTATGTTAGCCATGTGGCTCAGTACCTTTTTCAGTGGGACAGATCATATCCTGCTGCTTTGGTGATCTGGGCAGGAGTGGGCAGAATCAGCTTCCTCCTTCCCAGAATTCTCTTTTTCTCATTGCATCACCTCTACTTCCTGTCTGATTTTCCCACCTATACTTCCTGCCTGGCCAATCAGCATTTATTTAAAACATGATTGACAGAATACAGACAATTCTCCCACACCAGATAACGTTTAACACCACTTCATGATACAAATCCTCAGCTAAAGTAAGTATCATGGTTCAACATATAAAGTTTACATGCAATAAACCCAAAGTCAAAATCATCCAAGTTTGCAGGTGACACTCTATGCATAGAAAAACCAAAAGAATTTCAAAAAGAACCCTTAGAAGTTTTAAAAATTTCAATAAAATCCCAGCCTACAAAATTAATAGATCAACCAGTAGCTTTTCTGTATCTCAGAAAATACTTGCTGAACAAGAATTACAAAATAACAAAATTATAACAATCATAATACACCTAAAATAAACATAGGATGTGAAAGATCACAATAATTGCAAGATGACAACAAAACGGATGAAAGAAGGCACCAAAAAGGAAATATGTCACATTGCAATAGCCCTGAATGGTTATTATCATTTAACTGTTCTTACAAGTTGCAGAGCTAATGCGATTCTCACCAAAATACCAATAACACCATTTACAAAAGTAGAAAAGAAAAACCCTAAAATTCATATAACAGTCATATGGAGGCACAAAAATAGCCAAAGCAATGTCAACCACAAGAAATAAATCCAGAGGCATGACAATATTTGATTTCAGGACTTACCAGAGCCATCAGATCCAAAACAATGCAGTTCTGACATAAGAACAGATGCACAGCAATGGAACAGAATAAACATCTCAGAGACAAGCTTGCAATGCCTAAAGACAACTGATGTTGAACAAAAATCCAAAATAAGAAATGGACAAACAAACAGCAGTAACAAAGCCCGTATTGAAGCTACTGCTCAGTAAATGGTGCTCTCAAACTCAGCATTCATGAAGAACAGTTTTAAATTTAACTCAGATCACTGATCCTATACAAAGAAGAGTCAAAGTGTAGCAAAAGTATAAATACATGTTCAGAAAGTCTAAACCTTCTTGAAAGAAGCCTAGGAGAGACATTTCAAAGTACTCACACAAACAGTGATTTTTTTTTGCATGAGATTCCAAGTGTGTAGAAAAAATGATTACATGGTTACAAAGTTTCTGAAGAGCAAAGAACACAAAAGACAGCATGCACACATGGCTTAAGAGTGAGTGTAAACCTTGATATCAATTATGTAACAAAGGGTTTAAATCTAGAATTCATAAAGAACGAAGAAGACTAGCAAATCCACCAGTAAACCAATTAAAATCAGCAGATACTTTATTTATTTTTGTGTATGAGTGTCTGTGTGTCTCTGTACCACATACATACTGATGCATGTGGGGGCCAGAAAGGGCATCAGATACCCTGGAACTGGAGGTACAGATGGTCGTGAGTTGCCAGACTCAGGAGACAGGTACTGTGATTTCTCTCTTACATGAAAATAAGTGTCAACCTGGAAGGTTGGTGTGAGTGAGACTTGGGGTGCCTGGAGCCAGAAGGAGGTTGTTGGATATGATTCAGGTAGTGTATGTAAATGTTAAACAATCACAAAATATTAATAAAATGTATCTTGGGTGTAATATATCTTTGTCAAATAAGTAAATTATAAATGTTTTCTACCATATATGTGACCTTTCTTTTTAAACAATCCGGTTCCTTACAACAAGCTCATTTTTCTCATTTAAAAGCCATAGAAATAGCTTTATTTTCTAGACTGTTTAGTATCTTATTTTTCATATCTAAGAGATGTGATCTTCTTGGGCATGAGACATGAAATAGTGATCAAAATTCATTTTCCACAGGGAAATTCATTTGACCTAGTATGTTTTTGGTAGGTGGTGAAAACCCTTCCCTTTCCATGGCTGCACAGATCTTGTGTCATAAGTCACACATATGTGCACAGGATTTTGATTCCTGTTTGATGTCTCCTAGTACTTTGCATTAATTCTGTACCCTGTTCTTTTCTTTAATTATTAATTATTAAAGCTTTATGAATGTCTTGATATCCAGGTGTAAAAGATAATCATATACCAAAAGAACGTAGAAAATTAGTTAAGTAAGCTAGTCTATGCTAAAGCACTCTTTTTAAAAAAGTTATTTAAAATTTTTCATTACATTCTTTCTTTCTTTATTTGTGTGTGTGTGTGTGTGTGTGTGTGTGTGTGTGTGTGTGTGTAGACCTGCTTGCCATTGTGTGCATGTAGAGGTCAGAGGACAACATTCAGAAGTTGATCATCTCTTCTTTTATGTAGGTCCCAGGGATCGATCTCAGATCACCAGGTCAGTGGCAAGTGTCTTTACTTGCCAACCCATTTCTGGCCCACAGTGTTCTATTATTTTTGAAAGAAAATTTATTGTTACCATAAAAATGATACATGCTTATTAAAACCTGGCAAAGAAGTATAAAGAAGTGTCAGTAACTTCAGTGCTATTCTACGTCCCTTTATGGTTTGCATTTGTAGTCTTCTCTTTCTTAACATTGCATTTTTATCATACATACATACATACATATATATCCATTCCAAGTCCGAACTTATATGCCATTTGTCAACAGTGTCATTTAATATTGTGCTAATATTATGTTTATCTTTTGCCAAAGTACTAAATACCTCTGAAAAAGACATTTTTGTTTATGTAATAATGTCTTGTCACATTTGTGCCTGAAATAAGAGATTTAGTTGGTCCATGACATTCCATTTTTGCTACTGTACATCTATTTGTAATTTATAATTTTATGGAATTGTTTTAAATGTGTGAGAAAGTAAGAGTGTCCCACATTTGTTAGAAGCTAACGTGCAATATAAATGAAGAACAGAAAACTGGGTGTGACGTCCAAGATGAATAATGCGTGAGCTGAGCCAGGGATGTAAGTCACTTTTTAGTCTGTTCAGATTTCATTTCCCCATAAACAATACAGGTTTAAAACAACAGATCTCACAAATGAAATTCTGTAAGTGTGAGAAACTTGAGTTAGAGGAACTAACTGTTGAACATTTGATGAGCTAAAAATATCATTTCAATTTAGAAATGACTCCTTGATTCCCTACCTGGCTTATAGAATTGCACAGCATTTTACCATGCAGGTGAATATTTTACATTTAATACTGACACGATAGATCAGTGTTTTGAGAAAAATGCACATGATTGTACAGACCAATGTGTATATGTGTGGTGTGTGTTGAACAATATCTTGTACTGGAACCAACTAACATGTAACAGAACTGTTTTCTGAATGACTATTTTCCAATGTTTTGAAAGACTGTTTCCCCAACTGGGATGAATGCATTGTTTAAAATTTATCATCTTGTCCTTGGGTGAGCATGCCCTCCAGTGCCGAGAGAGATTCACTCTGCTACTCAAAGGGTCTTCTGCACAGCAACATCCCTCACAGTCCTTGATTGTCTCTTTCTTGTTCAGCTTTCCTGAGCCTTCTCTTTAGTTGCTCACAGAACATGTCCCACTCTACCTTCCCTTGGGACAAATCAAAATAGTCCTCCTTTTGGAGCCATCGGGAGAGGCGGTGGTAGCCAGGTAGCGTCTGCCTATCTATGGGCTCCAGAAACAGCAGCAGGAGTCGAGCTGTCCCTGGCCTGGCCACCAAATGGTAAGTGGCCAGTCTTAACTCGAGATTGCACCAGGGACTTGCTAAGGCCTGACCCGTGAGCACACAGAGGGTGGATCTGCTTTGGCCCATGCTGGCAATCATACATTCCATCCTGTCATTTCCAATCACAAAGTCCCTGGCAGGCAGACACAACCTCAAGCCCTCTCCTTCAGGAGGGGTTCTCTCCAAAGCAGGAACCAGTTCTTTTAGCACCCAGGCCTGGTCCTTCTCACAGTAGGATAGAAAGACATCATAGTTGAATTGGCCTCTGAGTTTATGTCCACATAATTTCCACCAACAAGCATGAAAGAGTGTCTGCAGGGAGTGACGCCAGGACCATCTATGGCAGCTAATCAGAGGAAGGATGGTCAGCAGAAGTACCAGAGTGAAACTGATGAGAAAGCCCCCAAACTCAGCGCCACGTGGGCAGCGCGCAGCAAGGAAGGAGAACAGCGGGGTGTTGGAGTAGTCAGAAGCATTGGCCATGCAGATGGATTTCTCCAGTCCATAAACAAAAGTGTTTGGGGCCTGTGTAGCCCAAGACTCCACCCAGGAAGCTTCACACTGGCAGGTGAAGGTGACATCTGAGAAATAAACATATGGAGGCATCTGAGGAATCAACTCCTGGAGGCTGCTGTCCATCTCCAGGGCCAGCTCAGAGTTGAGCAGCAGCAGTTTGAGGTGGTGCAAGCTCTTAAAGCTGGACTCAGAGAGGTTTCTGAGATTCAGGTGGCTCAATGCCAGTACCTGTAACTGAGGCGCCTCCTCCAGGAGCATCTCTAGCTTCTTAGTACTTGACTCATAGAAAAAATTAAGGTCCCCCAGCTCGAGTACACGCAGCCTGGGCATCTCGAATAGATGGAGGTCTACTGCATTGTCATTGTCACACCACATAGAGAAGTGCTCCAGCACAGGGAGTCTTTGTGGGAAGAAGCTACGAAGTTGACTGGTTGAGAACAGGAAGCTGTAGCCAAGCAAGGTGAGGCGACGCAGGGAGGGAAAATGGATTGTGGTTGTGTCTGGATGCCGCAACACACTGGAAGTCTCTAAAGTAAGGTTCTCCAAGAGTGAGAATGGCTCTCCACTGAGAACCATAAACTGAATGCATAATTTTGCTTGTATTTCTAAGCTGAGCAGCATTGGAAACCAGGGAGGATAGATGTCCAGTGCTGTAACAGAACCCAGTTTTAGATGTCTCAGCATCTGGGGACCCTGAAGTTGTGTGCCTGAGATATGTTCTAAGTAGGTGCCCAGAAGGTTCAAGGTGGTCAGAGCAGGAAGATGAGAGAGCCAGCCTGGTTTGAGTACTTTAATTTGGTTCCAACTCAAGTCTAGAGTCCTCAGCCACCTCAGTCCTTGCAGGCTCTCATTGGATAAACTAGAGATGTTGTTACCACTCAGCCAGAGCTCCTGCAGCAGTGGAGGAAAGGCCCCACGGGGTACTTCACATAGCTGATTGTGGGACAGATCCAGCACTCTTAAATTTGTGCTCAATACTCCTTCTGGAAGCTCCAAAGCTGGGCCCAACTTATTCACAGACAGGTTGAGCCTCTGAAGTTGGGGTAGAGTACTTAGGAACCTGATGGGAAGTGACTGCAAATAGTTATCATGAAGGCTAAGGAATTCCAGAGCTTTATAACTTGGGATATCTCCATTCTCCAAGATGTTTTGTATTTGATTCTTCCCAAGGTCAAGTGCACGAAGTGTAGAGTAGGCCATGGCACTCCCAGGCAATTTTTCTATACCTGTACCCACAAGTGAGAGTAACTCCAAGTGGAGCAGTCCTGAGCCTGTGAGGTCAAATGTTCTTAGTGTGGTACCATCCAATATTAGGGAATGGAGTTTGAGGCCATACAAGGCTGTGACACCAGCCTGTTTCAACTGAAGGTTGTAAGATAAATCCAGCACCTCTAGGAATGGCACCCCTAGCTTGGTCCTGGGTATAGGAGAGGAGCCAAGCAAATGTCTTGGGAAGAGCCATTGCAGTTCCTGCAGCTTTGTCAGACAGCTGTTCCTTAGAGCTAGATGCCTAAGGCTGGTTGGCAGATAGATGCTCTGGCTATAATTCAGGCAGTAGCCTTGAAAGGAAAGATGATGGAGGGATCTGAGAGTCTCTAAACAATTTGGAGGGAGGAACAGACTCAGGCAACATGGAGCATGATGCTCAAAAAAAAGATACTGTAGCTGGTCCAGTCCTTGAAAAGTCCTAGAAGTAATATTGATTGTACCCAACTGCAGTCTCAGAAGTCGTAGGGAGTGGAAGTGATCAAAAGCATTAGCTGGCAGAGTAGAAACCATTCCCTGAAGACAAAGCACCTCTGTATCTCTTGGCACTCTTTCCAGTGTCTGAGTCATGTCTTTAACATTTGAGCAAGATGCCAAAAGGTGCAATCCTGGGGCTAAAGTACAGAACTGGATATAGTAGGAAAGGTTAGGAAATAACATGCCGTCCGCTATAACACAGTCAGGGGCAGTCCATGCCCAGCTGGTCAAGTCAAGGCTCACCAAAGCCAAGAGTGTCAGAATGAAGAAAATAGAGCATAACTGAGGTCTTTCCATCCTTGGCGCTGATTCTAGGAAAAGATAGGGAAAGAATTGGGTACCAGTTCTTACAGTGATGAGCAATTCCATCCTGGAGCCTCTAGCATGCATCATATGCTTTGGATTTAGGGACACACTGGGAACATTCCAGTAAACAAGAAAAGAGTGGCACATGAGCCGAGTCAGAATCTCAAGTTGTTCCCACTGATGAGACTCCAAGCAGGCAGAAAACCAGAGGACACCAAATCACAGGGCACCAGGAAATTCAGAGAAGCTTATGCTAGTCTGATCTCCCTACTGGGGATAACTGGCTTAGACTGCTAAATTCATTGGAGGACACCATCGTCTAAAACAAGGCAGCAAATGTACTTGTTCAATAGAGAGTACATTGAAGGAAGGCACAGCACTATGGACACCTTTAGGAACAAAATTCCTAGCCTTGTGGCATAGGTGACGGGGAGCTGACTGCATTGTCTTTATTCACAGCTCTTCTCTCATGAGACAGCTTTGGTGTGACCATTGTAAGACCAGTGATTATCAAAGTATCAGAAGGGTCTGGAAGACACAGGGGATGATAGACACCAGTGATGGGCAGAGGAGGTAGCACTAAATGCCATGGGTGTCTCTACTTTCCTCTGGTTACTATTTCTCCTGTGTGGTAGGTAGCATACTGACTCTGGAGGTGAGGAGACAGCCTTTTTTCATTTCTCTCTCTCTCTCTCTCTCTCTCTCTCTCTCTCTCTCTCTCTCTCGCTCCTGTGCCTCAGATTCCAGTGAAGTTCAGAGGAGACTGGAAGAGAGGAGGCTGGGACTTCATTGTAGATGCATTTGGTTTAGCTGGTCTCTATCTTTCTACTCCATGCCTTTTCTTGCCTTTTCACCTTATTAAAGAATTTTTTGAGCCTTGAAATGTGAAATAGAATATCCTACAGATTTAATCTTCCTTTTTTATTTTAAACTAGTTTATCTAGGATGATATCAGGAACTGGAATAGATCTTAGACTAAGGTACTGAGACACTGACACTCTAGATGTCTGGGATAGTGACTTCTCTCTCAAGATTTCAAGTTTGATATTATAACCCTGAGATGTATACAAGATTTTCCATGAACTAACACATCTCAGGTGGTCACGTAAACTGTGACAAATCTTAACTCAGCTGTCCTTAGGCTCCACCTGGTCACTTCTGGCCCTAGTCTTTGGCTCGCTGAAGAGGCAGATGTTTTGTGGTTTGCTTTCTTTCTGGCCAGTGTCACTAACTGCTCATCTGCCTTGTCCAGAAAATTCTCTGGTATTAGGACAGCATTCCTTACCTTTGAAAAAGGAAACAGAGGGTGGTGGTGACAGCTTCAAGTTCTCAGGAAGAGTTCTTTCTCATCTCCTGCAGCATTTTGGAGCCTTCCCTCCACAGTGGTTCCTGATCTGCTGCCTTGAAGTATGACGCTTCTGTTGTTTGTGACTTAGGGAAGAGGGAGAAAGGATAGTTAGTTTTAGGAAAGGTGGGGTGTAACTTCTCTCCAGACTGTCTCCGGTTGTTTCAGTTTCATGACTTCCTCTTTTCGAGTCTCCTCTGGGGTTTCAGTTCTCAATTTATCATATTCTCCTGATGTCTGAAAAGGCAGTTTTCAGTTTGCTGGAACCTTCTCTCTTTGTAAAGAGAGACTCCTCCTTCCTGCCGTTTTTGCCTTTCCTTTGTTATCATCTCTCCCTCTTCCTTTGTTACTAGAGGGGTCTAAGGTGTCTTATGATGAGAGGCTCAGGTCTCTCCTCTGTCAAACAATGAGCAGAACCAGACACAAAGTAGTAGAACTACAATGGTAGTGAAAGCACAGGGTGTGCTCCACCAGCGACGTTAGCTCCAGCAATTGTACAGCCCAAAAGATGGTGAGTGAGGGTCCAGAGCTTCTGTTATTAAAGGGCAACCAAGAGTTTTCCAAAGGGTGGGGCTACATTCCGCTTCTAGAAGTCTTCATTTGTTGGAAAGGGCTCATACAACCCTGGAGCAATCAAGGGCAGTTTCACATGATGGTGTTCCTTGGTTGCTGAGCCCTACAGTTAGTCATGCAAGTCTGAGCCTGTGTTAGTCCTGTATATTTGCATGTGAGTGTGTACAAGCATCTCTGTGTTCTTGCTTCACCACTAGTTTTGTGTGTGTGTGCATTCCTAGCTGTGTGGCATAGGTGACGTCTTTATTCACAGCTCTTCTCTCATGAGAAAGCTTTGGTGTGACCATTGTAAGACCAGTGGTTATCAAAGTACCCTAAGGGTCTGGAAGAGACAAGGAGTAGCCTATCACTCTGGGGATGATAGACACCAGTTAGTCACAGATGAAGGACACTGTCTTACCTGTCTTACTCAGTAGCTCATGCCCTTGGGCAGAGGATTTAGTACTAAATGCCATGGGTGTCTCTACTTTCCTCTGGTTACTATTTCTCCTGTGTGGTAGGTAGTACACTGACTCATGGTACTGAGACATCTTTTGTTCATTCTTTCTGTCTCTGTCTCTCTCTGTTTCTCTCCTTCCTTCCCTCCCTCCCTCTCTCCCTCTCTCCCTCTCTCCCTCCCTCCCTTCCTCCTTCCATCTCTCCCTCCCTTCTTCTTCCCCTCTCTTTCTCGCTTCTGAGTGTGTGCACATTGGTGATAATTTTTTACCTTGTCTTGAACAGGGTCTCTGTTGTTTTGGCATTGTATATGCCAGAGTAGGTGGTACAAGAACTTTCAGGGTTTCTCTCATTTCTGCCTTAACTTTCCTATGGTGCTGTGATTATAGATGTTTGTTCTGTACGTCTAGCTTTTATGAATTCTAGGGACTTGAACTTAGGTCCTCACACTGTGTATGTACCCACTGTACCAATTCTTCAGCCTCCACCCATGTCTAGACTTGATGTCTGGTACCACATCTCTTATCTCTTTAGAGCAGGTAGGTTGCAGAAGAGCCTAGAACCTTTGTGCAGGGAGTTCAGTCTTCTCAGCAAGACCCGAGTGCAGAAGAAAGAGGAGGAGGAGGAGGAGGAGGAGGGGGAGGAGGAGGAGGAGAAGGGTTTCTACTTCAATTCCTACATAAATGGTAAAATACTTTCCAGAGAATACAAGTTATGGGATACCCATATTCAGAGTCACATCTGGCTTCAATTGTCTGAAATCTTGTGTTCAAATTAGATTTTAAAAATTAGTATACAAATAACAAGTTTCCCTGGTAATTTCCTACGTACTTCATGTTGTCCTTTAGTTGATCCACCACTACTCTTCCTTTCCCCACCCCTACACCTGTCCTTCCAGTGGCCTTCCTCTCCTCTGCATGCTGGCTTCTGTTTTCATGTCACATGTATTTAATTAATCACTTTTTCTCCCTCTTTCTCCACCAATGCTGAGATCTCTGCCCTTTCATGGTCCTACAAGCCCCCCTTATCTCCAGAATATACTCACATTTGTAAACATTTAATAGAGTTTTCTCCACATATAACAGAAAGCATAGCATATATTTCCGAGTCTGACTTCTTGACTGAAACCTTGTTGAATGTTATTTTTTATCTGTACTTATAGGAACAGTGATATGAATTTGATTTTGAAGATACTTAAATAGTTTTATTTTTTTTCCAAAGTTTATTAAATTATAAAAGTTTCCATTTCCGCCCCTCCTCCCAACACCCTCCCACTTCCCCCACTCCCTCTCCTCCTCCCTCTCCATCCCTAAGAGCAGTCAGGGTTTCCTGCCCTGTGGGAAGTACAAGTTCCTCCCCCCTTTCTCCAGATCCAGGAAGGTGAGTATCCAAACAGACTGGATCCCAAAAAATCCAGTATATGCAGAGGAAACAAGTCCCAGTGTCATTGTCAATGTCTTTCCAGAAAGACTTCGGGCCAGCCACATTCAGAGAATCCGGCCATATTCAGAGAATCTGGTTGGATTACGTGCTCGTTCAGTCCCAGTCCAACAGGCCTTGGTGAACTCTCATTAGATCAGTCCCCTTGTATCAGTGGGTGATCGCACCCCTCGCGGTCCTGATTTCCTTTTTCATGTTCTTCCTCCTTCTGCTCCTCATTTGGACCTTGAGGGGCTCAGTCCGGTGCTCCAACGTGGGTCTCCATCTTTATCGCCATCCATCGTCGGATGAAGGTTCCCTCTGATCTTGCCTTCTTTGCTCACGTTCTCTTTCCTTCTGCTTCTCGTTTGGACCTAGGGAGTTAAGTCCAGTGTTCCAATGTGGGTCTCTGTCTCTATCTCCATCCATCGCCAGATGAAGGTTCTATGGTGATAAGCAAAATATTCATCAGTATGGTTATGGGCCAAGGCCGGTTCAGGCACCCTCTCCTCTGTCCAGAGAACAATCTGGAGATCTCTCCTTGGACCTGGGATCCCATTTATAATCAAGTCTCTTGTAAACCCTAAACTGACTCCCTTAGTTGAGATATATTCTTCCCTGATCCCATATCCATCCTTCCTCCCTCCCCCAATCCCAGTCCCCCGAGCTTTCCCCATTCCTCCCCTACTCCCTTCTCTCTAACCCTCTCCCCTTCCAACAACCCTCCCACCCTGCCATGCACCCGAGGTTACCTGGGACTCTTGTCTATTTCCAATCTCCAGGAGGATAACTACATGATTTTCTTCAGGTTCACCTTCTTATTTAGCTTCTCTAGGATCACGAATAATAGGCTCAAAGACCTTTAATTATGTCTAGAATCCACTTATGAGTGAATGCATACCATATTCCTCTTTTTGGGTCTGGCTTACCTCACTCAGTAAAGTGTTTTCTATGTCCATTCATTTGCATGCAAAATTCAAGACGTCATTTTTTTTTTTTAACCGCTGAGTAAAACTCTAATGTATATATGTTCCACACCTTCTATATCCATTCTTCCATTGAGGGGCATCTAGGTTGTTTCCGGTTTCTGGTTATTACAAATAATGCTGCTATGAACATAGTTGAAGAAATGCTTTTGTGGTATGATAGGGCATCTTTTGGGTAAATTCCCAAGAGTGGTATTGCTGGATCCTGGGGTAGGTTGATCCCGAATTTCCTGCAAAACCACCACACTGATTTCCAAAGTGGTTGCACAAGTTTGCATTCCCACCAGCAATTGATGAGTCTTCCCCTTACTCCACATCCTCTCCAGCAAAGGCTATCATTGGTGTTTTTGATTTTAGCCATTCTGACAGGTGTAAGATGGTATCTCAAAGTTGTTTTGATTTGCATTTCCCTGATCACTAAGGAGACAGAGCATGACCTTAAGTGTCTTTTGGCCATTTGAACTTCTTTAGTTGAGAATTCTCTGTTCAGTTCAGTGCCCCATTTTTTAATTGGGTTAATTATCATTTTAAAGTCTAGTTTCTTGAGTTCTTTATATATTTTGGAGATCAGACCTTTGTCTGATGAGGGGGTGGTGAAGATCTACTCTCAATCAGTAGGTTGCCTTTTTGTCTTAATGACAGTGTCCTTTGCTTTACAGAAGTTTTTCAGTTTTAGAAGGTCCCATTTATTCAATCTTGCCCTTATTGTCTTTGCTACTGGGGTTATACAGAGGAAGTAGTCTTCTGTGCCCATGTGTTGTAGACTACTTCCCACTTTCTCTTCTATCAGGTACAGTGTGGTCTGATTAATATTGATGTCTTTAATACACTTGGACTTGAGTTTTGTGAATGGTGATAGATATAGATCTATTTTCATTCTTCTACAGGTTGATATCCAGTTCTGCCAACATCATTTGTTGAACATGCTTCCTTTCTTCCATCGTATACTTTTAGCTCCTTTGTTGAAAATCAGGTGTTCATAGGTTTGTGGGTTAATATCTAGGTCATCTATTCGATTCCATTGGTCAACTTCTCTGTTTTTATGCCAGTACCAAGTTGTTTTCATTGCTGTAGCTCTGTAATAGAGTTTGCAGTCAGGGAAGGTAATGCCTCCAAAAGTTCCTTTATTGTATAAGATTGTTTTGGCTATCCTGGGTCTTTGTTTTTCCATATGAAGGTGATTATTGTTCTCTCAATATCTGTGAAGAATTTTGTTGGTATTTTAATGGGGATTGCGTTGAATTTATAGATTGTCTTTGGCAGAATTGCCATTTTTACTATGTTGATCCTACCTATCCAAGAGCATGGGAGGTCTTCCCATTTTCTGGTGTCCTCTTCAATTTCTTTCTTCAATGCCTTAAAGTTCTTGTCAAATAGATCTTTCACTTCCTTGGTTAGAGTTACCCCAAGATACTTTATGCTATTTGTGGCTATCGTAAAAGGTGAAGTTTCTCTGATTTTCCTCTCTGCTTCTCTATACTTTGTGTATAGGAGGGCAACTGATGTTTTGGAGTTGTTCTTGTATCCTGCCACATTACTAAAGGTGTTTATCAACTGTAGGAGTTCTTTGGTAGAGTTTTTGGGGTCGCTCATGTATACTATCATATCGTCTGCAAATAACGAAAGTTTGACTTCTTCCTTTCTTATTCGAATCCCCTTGATCCCCTTATGTCGTCTTATTGCAATTGCTAGAACTTCAAGAA